AGTGTGTCAAAGGGAAGTGGTCACCAAGGATGCTAGCCTCATGGGCTGGGGTGCTGTGTGGCAACACAGAGCTGTTCAGGGTCTCTGGGACCCAAGGGAGCACACCGAACACATAAATGTGCTGGAACTGCGGGCTGTGCACATGGCCCCCAGGTGCCTTCTGCCCCACCTAGAGGGAAGGCATGTGCTGATTCGGACGAACAACACCTCTGTTGTTTATCATATAAACTACCAAGGAGGCACCAGGTCAGCACGTCTCTTGAGGGTGTCGAGAGATCTCCTGGAATGGGCGTTTCCCCGTCTGTGTACCCTGCGCCCAGCGTATCTGCCAGGACAGCAGAACCAGGTTGCGGACTCTCTATCCCGCCAGGCACCTACTCCGGGAGAGTAGTCTCTTCACCATGACGTAGTGCGCATAATCTGGAACCTCTTTGGGCAGGCAGAAGTAGATCTGTTCCCCCTATGGTATTCCCTAACCGGGATGGCGGGCGCACTGGGCCAGGACGCACTGGCTCATCCATGGCCTCAGGTTCTCCTGTATGCCTTTCCACCCCTCTTGCTGATTTGGCCGACTCTACGGAGGGTTCTCGATTAGGGCCACAGAGTGTTGCTGGTAGTTCCGTTCTGGCCAGTGCGGCCGTGTTTCCCGCTGCTTTGGAGTCTGTGTCACGGTACTCCATGGCGTCTTCCAGCAAGGAGGGATCTGCTGTCTCAGTTGGGAGGACAGATATGGCACCCCAACCCTCAATGTCTCCAGCTGTGGGCATGGCCCCTAGGAGGCTGACTGGGTGTTCAGACACCGTGAGATACACCATATTGAGTGCTAGGGCGCCCTCTACTCGGCTGCAGTATGCTAACAGATGGCGCCTCTTTTCTCAGTGGTGCTCTGCCCACAATGAGAATCCGGTTTCCTGCTCCGTACCCACTATCTTGGGAGTTCCTCCAGTCTCTCCTTGATAAGGGCCGCTCTCCTTCGACCCTTAAAGTGTATGTTGCAGCAATTTCATGTCTTCACCGATCTGTTGAAAACTGTACAGTGGGGCGCCATGAACTGGTTTCACTTTTTCTGCGTAGTGCTCATAGGTTTTGCCAGCGGCCGGCTCCACAAGCCCCAGATTGGGCTCTGGCATTCTCACAGCTCTGTGCCACCCTCAATTCGAGCCTTTGGCACAAGCATAACTCAGGTGGCTTTCCTGCAAGACTGTTTTCCTGATGGCTATTGTCTCAGCTAAGAGGGTCATCTGGGATTCATAGAACCGTAGTTACATACGTAACTTTCGTTTTCCAATACGTTTTACTTTATGCTTCAAATTCTATACTTAAACAGTTTTAAATGAGCAAAAATGGGTGGTTTCATTTGAAAACCAAGAAAAAGTGTAATGAAATTAAACAGTTAACTAAATGAAGAAAGCATGCAACAGATTCAACATTTGTGTTTTTCTGTTTGCACTGAACAGGATTGAGACCACAGACATCGCCCTGTCCAGACAGATGTCGGCCTGACTGACAAAAAGTTATTGCGCAGCACCAAGCAGAGGAGCAGCCTCCTGGATATCAGCGCCAACAACAACAGACTGATGTATGTCCTTGTAAAGCTGCTGTAGCTGAATCCGCCTCAGGGATCACGCAGCACCAGCCCCGAAAAAAAGAATATCCTGAAGGCATATGAGAGGATCCAGCACCGCGTTTTGGTGGAGGACCCGGTCCTGAGCAGAGCTGGGATCCCTCTGGCAAAAATAAACATCAAATCAGTTCGGGACTTCATACAGCGGCGGGGGCGGATCCTGAACACAAATGCCACCCTGCAGCCCTCCTCCATCATCCATTAACTGCAGTCCATTTCCTCAGCACACTTTCCTCCAGCACCTCATCAGCCTGCTGTCCTCCCTACACCAGCCTACCCACAGATAACATATGAGCCCACACCCAGCACAGCAGGAACTAAAATTCTAAAAGGCAGGACCAGTTTAATAATGCCCACCAACCCCCCTTCACAGCACTGATTGTCTCTTCAGCTGCACCAGCTGAAGAGACAATCAGTGCTCCTTGTAGAACTGATAAAGAGCCAAACTGGTGAAGAGCCACACTGTACAAGCCTAAGTTGAAGGAAGATCTTACAGTAATGGGATCGAAAATACACAAAGTGGACAAGTTGCCTCTTTGTACAGTGTGGGCAGCACAGCAGCGGCATTTATAGTGCATCAAGGATCCACCAGACCTAAACATGTACAGGGTGGCAGGCACAACTATTAACGTTGACCTGCGCTACTACAAACGTGTGCGTGGGAGCAACAGCCTGGATTGGATTCCACAAATCGCTGCCAAGCATGATTTCTGGTATGCAGCTCTAATGGGAAAAATCTTAGCATGAAGTGATTAATTAAAATGTTCTTAATATTTTCTCCCTGTGGTTTTTATTTTCAGGTCCTCACTCTGCAGCACGGCCTTATCAGGTTTACCTGCTCAGTGGCAATGCGAGATGGAACGCAGACCGTCGCTCTCAAGCTCTGTTTGGGGTTAAAGGACAGCGACGCAGCACCTACTCTGCGCCTCTTATGGCTCGCCTCAACAACAACTATCGGCACCTGTTTGGAGAGCCTGTGGACAAACTTTCACGCTCCTGCTGATGTCACCTCTGCTGAGCTGCTCGGGCTGGAATACCTCTTCAGCCAGAGTACAGGGGAATCTGCCCCCTTCTCCTTTAAGGACATCATGGTCCTGATCCTGATGAGGAGGTGGTTGAACCTGGGCAACTGGAACCAGACGAGGCTTATGAAAGCGACCCAGAGACCTCGAGTGACATCCTGGTTTCTGCTCCGCCTCACATCATGCTCACCAGTACAGAGACAGCGACCCTTCAACCTCCAGCCTTTGTAAGTAGCTGTTCAGTAGTTTCCCAATGCCGTTTATTTTATGCCTGAAGTTCTGTAACTAAACGGCTTAACATGAGCAAATATGGGCGGTTTCATTTGACAAAAGAAGCAGAAGTCAAATTATATGCAACAGTAAACAGAATTAAAGCATGAAAAGGATCTAACATTTCTGTGTTTCTCTTTGGACAGGAAGATGTCTGTGGTCCCAGCACCCTTCCTGGGTATCAGCAGCTGGAGAAATTCTGTTCGGTGCTGATCGACATTAGTCTGACTGACGAAAAGCTGTCGCTCAGCACCCAGCAGAGAAACAGCATCCTGGAGGCGTGGAATGAAGTGGAGGAGCATGACAAGCAGCCCAAAAAGTTCAGCCAGCGGTACAGGACTCAATGGGGGAATAAGCTGTACTGCAGGACAAAGCGGGACGACCTTGTGGACGCTGCTGTGATCCAGAAAGTAAAGATGTCAAAAAGATACGCGCCAGCACAGCACAACGTCAGTGCACAGAACAACGGACTGATGTATGTTCTTGTGAAGCTGCTGTGGCTGAATGCGCCTCAGGGATCATGCAGCACCAGCCCAGAAAAAAAAAAAAAAACATCCTGAAGGCATATGAGAGGATCCAGCACCGCGTTTTGGTGGAGGACCCGATCCTGATTAGAGCTGGCATTCCTCTGCCAAAAATAAACGCGAAATTAGTTCGGGACTTCATACAGCAGCAGGAGCGGATCCTCAACACAAATGCCACCCTGCAGCCCTCCTCCATCATCAGCCTGCTGTCCTCCCTATACCAGCCTACCCACAGATGACGTATGAGCACACACCCAGCACAGCAGGAACTAAAGTTCTAAAAGGCAGGACCAATTTGATAATGCCCACCAACCCCTCTTCACAGCAGATTGTCTCTTCACCTGCACCAGCTGAAGAGACAATCAGTGCTCCTCGGAGAACTGATAAAGAGCCAAACTGGTCAAGAGCCACACTGTACAAGCACAAGATGAAGCAAGATCTCACAGCAATGGGATCGAAGATGCACAAAGTGGACAAGTTGCCTCTTTGTTCAGTCTGTGGCCAACCCCTACAGGGCCATAAAAAATATAAAAAGAAGTAATTCTGCCCAATAAAGATGATGTCATCATCTAAAGTTCTGGATCACAGAGTATATGAAAGCTACGAACATTTTATCTCTGTTGTGGATGAGCTAGAGCACTGACTTTGGGTAATTAGTTTGCAGTATATTAGTATTTTAATGTATATAGTTTTTATTGTTCAATTTCAGACATGTTTAAAGTAGTATCTATGGTTATTCTTTGTAAATATTTCGCTAACCATTTTAGTATTTTATTTTTATACTATTTCAAGCAAATTTACATAGTTCTTTATTGTAAATATTTCCTGACTTATTTAATAGTACATTCCCTGTATTTATTTACATACCTTTTATACTTTAAACATATTTTTAATACTACTTACAGCTGCTGCCCTGTACATTTCCCTTGATGTATGCACCAGGCTCAGAAAAACTTTTAATCCAGCACCGCGTTTTGGTGGAGGACCCGATCTTGAGCAGAACTGGGAACCCTCTGCAAAAATAAACGCGAAATCAGTTCGTGACTTCATACAGCAGCAGGAGCGGATCCTCAACACAAATGCCACCCTGCAGTCCTCCTCCATCATAAACTGCAGTCCATTTCATCAGCAGACCTTCCTCCAGCACCTCATCAGCCTGCTGTCCTCCCTACACCAGCCTACCCGCAGATGACGTATGAGCCCACACCCAGCACAGCAGGAACTGAAGATCTAAAAGGCAGGACCAGTTTAATAATGCCCACCAACCCGCCTTCACAGCAGACTCCAAATATCGATAAACCTCCTGTCAACCCTCCTGTTCCCTCAACCTTCTCAAACCTTTACCTGGGCTTTCTCCATCCTCCTCCTCCATTTCAGCCTCTGACATGGCTGGCCAACCATGCAGCTGCTCTAGCAGGTGATCCCGAAGCTTCTGGCCCTTCACAGGCACTGGCTGACGAGACAATATATTATAAAAAATATATTTTTTAAAGTAATTCTGCCCTATAAAAACGATATCACCAAAAGGTCAGCATCACAGAGTATATGAAACTCTAATATTTTACCTTTGTTGTGGATGCGCCGGCACCATGACTTTGGACAATCAGTTTGTAGTAGTTTATCAGTGTTTATTTAATGTATATAGTTTTTATTGATCAAGTTCAGACATATTTAAAAATACTATTTATGGTTCTTCATTCTATATATTTCTCCAACCTTTCTAGTAGAACTTTTGTCATTTTACATAGTTGTCATAAGTTTTTTTTTTTTCATACTTTCAAACATATATTTATGGTTCTTTTATATATTTATTGACACAATAGTACTTTTTCTACCCACATAGTTTTTATACTTTATATATATGGTTCTTCCTTTAAATATTTTCTGACTTGTACAGTATCACAGTTTGTGTTAATGTAAATGGTTTTTATACTTCTAAATCAAGCATACTTTTAAATGTTATTAAAGATTCTTCCTGGCAAACATCTCCTGACTTCACTGCTTTTTTAATTTATGCATTTAAATCATTTTTTAATAGCTCAATTTCAAGTATATTTTTATGTTTTTTTATTATAAATTTAGTAGTGCTTTTTCTTTTTATTAACAGTTTTTATAATTAAAACATTTCAAACACTATTTAGGGATTCTCCTTGTACATCTTTTGTGACTTCAGTGGTTCTTTTTCCAGGTGTTCCTATAATGCGTACCTACAACTTTAAATCACTATAATTCTGACCATCAAGAAATTTTGAGTAACCAAACAGTTCATTATTTGTGATTTAGAAACAGCTGATTATCAGAAATTATGGCAACAGGTGACGCTTAAATTCCCCCCAAAAAAATCACTGTATATTTCCCCATTGTCCCACAATGGGGAAATTCTCTCTCTGCATTTAACCCATCTCCTAGGGGAGCAGTGGGCTGCCATTGTGCGGCGTCCGGGAAGCTGTGTGGGGTTAAGGGTTTATCTCAGTGAGGATCAAACAGGATACTTGCATCCTTCTCAGAGCACAATGGCACTGCTCTAATCACTAGACCAACACTCCCCCATGGCCCCACATTCCCAAGGTGAGCATTCAGAAAATCAAATGTGAACATAGTCTACCTTCAACTGTAGACAAAATAGCACTTTGATATGGTAGACTCGACATTAGGGGAGTCTACTGTACCAAAGTTCTCCTTCCAAGGCTGGAATAAGGTTTCCACTGCTGTTGGTCTCCGAGTACGACAGCATCCATGGTCCATGTACAGGATGCTCAGGACAGGTTGACCAGCCAGATTGTCCCTCTCCATCAATCCGCTGCACATTGGCTCCAGCTTCTTCTTGGATTCCTCACAAGTCAGCACAAAAGAGACAATCTGTGAGTGCTGGTTTCCGATGCTGGTGAACCATTCAGTTGAGTTCCGACCTTCACCAGAAAGCTTCTTTACTACCTAGAAGAGCTTTAGATGTAAAAAAAAAATCCCATGTTAGTAGTTTAATCTTCCCTACTTTCTACAGAACAACAAATGTGGCTTATTTTCCCTGTCTTTTTATTTTTTTATTTATTGTATTTTTAAATCCCATTTTTTTAGTGTAGCGTTGTGTTTTGGTTTACATACTTGGTGAAATCCATTTTCAGCACAGTGCCAAAAGTGGAGAGGATCTGGTTCCTGCAGTCCTGCCCATTTTCAGCCTCTGCCAGCAGAAAGGCATGGCACAAGAGAGGAGCTGATGGATGCTCTCTCTGAGGAGGTGGAGGCTGGAAAGTATGGCCATACACACCAACCATCCCTCTGGACATGAGCAGTGTGGTCTAGAGATCCAGACGATGGAGGTACTCCCCACATGGTTCTCCTGGATCTGCCTCCTTTCCTTCTGTCCGGTCCTGCAGGAGACGCACCATCTTCTTGTCCATGCCACGCCTGTTGAATATAAGTTTATCAATATTTAGAAGAAGGAAACATGGTCACATTGCAGCGTGAACTTACTTGCTGGTGAGGATAGCTGGGAACACAGCCTGATGAGCCTCACTGAGCTGCAGTAGAATGGTTGGATCCCATGCAAGCCATCTTTCCACAGTGGCTCCTTCCCTGCTCCTTGCTGCCTTTGCGCAGAGCCCTCAACATAAGGCCTCCGTCAGCATTTTGATATATCAAAAATGTGATGTACCTGGAGTACATATCAGTGGAGAAACCAACAAGAGAGGTCTTAAAATGCAGGAAAGCTTTAGCATATTCAGACAGAATGGATCTATTATTGAGTTATAATACTTTTACATCAAAACAGAAGTGAGTTATACCCTCTGGTGGTAGCCTGACTTATACAGGAACACGTTGCACCCCTTCCCAACACAGTCATCCCCATGAGGACACTTCAGGGAGCATCTCCAGACTCCCACAGGGCATCACAGAAAGACAGGGCTATGAAAAAACAACTGTGCTACTGGCAGAGCGCCTCCTGCAAAGGCTAAAGGTTCTCGAGGATAAAACCACATCCTATCAGACTTCAACAACCTTCTTCTCTTGCAGAATCTGGTGACGTCTTTGTAAGTCTGAAGAGGGGTGAACAGACCCCTCTCGGTGTCCTTCAACGATGAAAAGTCTCCTGTAGGAATGTTGTTAGGGTTTTCAAAGGCTTCTAAATCCGCCTGTAACACAAACACATCTGCATAACTATTGTCAACGTTGCCTCATTTTATGGGGTTTAAATTAATAAAGACTTTTGACTGATTTTTATTCATTATAAATGCAACTCACATCAGGGTCACCAGGAGTTGCTTGCAGTGGATTATCCACACGCTGAGGTGGAGGAGGAGACATGGTGGGTGGTATACCTGCATTCTCAGGCTGCTGTCTGACACTTGATTTGTATTTATTTTTTAATGTAGCGCGGCTTGGACTGTGGGGAGGATAGGATCTGTCTCTGCTCCATATGGGGGGGGGGGGGGGGGGGGGGGTCTTGGGCTTCATTTGTGGGCTCAGTTTTCCTGTGACTGTGACCCTTTTGACTGGATCAAGCCAAAAGAAATAATAAGGAAAATACTGTAAACATACACAGGACTTGGAAAGCATATTTCCCTAAATTAAAATGACTCTATAACTTACCTTCCACACAGTGACAAGCTGTCACCATCTCCACCTCATGCATGGACCATGGAGGAGGACAAAGCTCTGAGACGCTGACCACCTGCTGCCCAACAGTAAGTAAACTAAAAAACAGATTATCCTTTTAACACTCATCATATCAGAAGTAAAAAAAAAAAAGGAACAATTAGTTTAGTTTTTTTTAGTTATGTGTATTTTATATTTTTCCAAACACTTATTTGCTCCTTCTCATAAATGTATTTCCTAAAGTGCTTCATTTGGACACTGGAAATATAGGTCACTGGTGTTTTTAAACTTTTACTTCGGTTAAATTTCTTGGCAAATACAATGCAGACAAGCAAAACATAGAAGGTGTTCATAGAAGATGAGTAGTCTATTAAGTAGCTTTTAAGTATGTTATCATATATCAATTAATGGTAAATATTCAATATTCTTTGATTATAAATGACATTACATTGGACTTTGATTCAAAGTGAAGCTATATGATACATCAGCAACTGATTAAATATTCTGAAACAGCTTTACCGTTTTAGAAAAGTCTTCATTATCTTGAACAGATTATCAGGGGAGAGCGCGAACGCAGTCCCCCACTACCAGAAATTATGCAGTCGAGATTCCCACATTTGGGGAATTCGCAGGGGTCAGCACAACCGGAGTGCAATGGCTGAGCCTCACCCTGGGTGAACCACCTTCTTGATCATGGTATCTCCCCTGCCAGGTAAGTATGAGTTGCTCAGCTCACACACCGGGATTCATTTCACAAACACACTTCAGTGACTAACGGTAGCAACACCCCGTTAAAGCTGAAGTCTGTAAGTTTTTAAAAATCACTTTTTTGTCATATTGGCTAAAACTGTCCCTATGCCCAGGCAGCAGTACATGTGATATGTAACCTGTGAAAAAAACTGATTCAATTGGTCCCGCATACTGCCTGTATTTCAATCTGGAAAGAATAATTCGGGACGAGTCAAAACAACCAATCACAGCCAGAGGAGCGTCTGATGGAGTGTCAATCACAGGTCCCCCCCCCTCACCGCTTAACCTGCCGCAGCGCCCGGCTGCCGCAGTCAGGAGGACGCACGTGGAAGTCATGGTGGAGCGACAGCCACCAGCGAAAGAGAAACTGCCCTTACTGCCCCTGCCGACAACTGCTTACACGGGCAAACTTCGGTATAACCAGCATCCTATATCTAGCTGCTTGGAGGTGAGTGTTATCGCTCTTACCGGTTCACACTCCATGCCGCGTACGCTGCTTGGATGCTTCTGGTTGCATGCGGTAGCCGCGCAGATGCTGTGAGAGGGGTGGAGCTTGGAGGTGGGGCATGAGTGAAGCAGAGAGGGTGGGGGAGTGGCGTGAAACCGGTTTTTCTTCAAATTTTCAGTCAAAGTCTGCTCTCTTCTCAATGTTACAGACTGCAGCTTTAACTAGCAGGACCAGATAAAGCCTGCTGGCTACCATCCTACACCACTGAAAGTATATTGGACTAAATGAGTTGTACAAAATGGGATTTGGGGTGAGTTTTAAGTTTTTAAAACACAGTCAGATTACCCAGAATTCAATGCTGCATAAAGCACATGTTCCTTTTTTCCCCTTTTCCCCCACAAGTGATTGACCAGTATGTGCTGGGCCTGAGGCAGTCACACATACAGAAACAGGAGGGGGAGACGAGAGGAAAAAGGAAGATACCATGAGGAGAGATGACAGGAATGTTTCACCTCATTTAGTAGAAAAGTTAAGTCTGAAATAGTTTCAACTATTTTTTTGTAGTTAATAAGTTCATATTAATATCACAGAAACAAAAAACGCTTGTATTTGTTTTGTTTTGGTTATTAAATATGCTGCTTTTTACCTTACTATGAATATTATCAAATTGAGGAAAATAAAGCTGAAGAAATATATGGGTTCCACAGGCTCCGACTTGCTGGATCTTTAAATGGAAATTGAGTTTTAATCAATAGAAAAAAATCTGATCATTTAAATGATGATTACTATTCAAATACAGAGTTTCTGACTGCTTCTCTTTGTTACCTAAATTATGTTCTCCATGTTTACATCATAATATCGAGGGTTTGGAGCCAGAGGGGCGTAAGTGGCATTTTGGTCAAAAATGAGTTCTATATATCAAATGAAAGGTCTTGATTAGCTCCATCTAGTGGTGCCAAAGATACAAATCAGAAATGAATCTGTATTGAATAAAACAATAAAACAACAAAGACCTTACCAAAAAGGTGGAGTACTGTTTGGAGCCAGAAGGGCGTATGTACATATACGCCCTTGTGGCTCTGAGTAATACCAGACCCTGCAGTGCATATCAGAGTCAAAAGGGCGTAACACAAGTGGTGCCCAGTGCTAAAATTGGTGACAGAACTGCAGACATGCAAGAACTGACTGAGGTAGAAAAGATTTTGATCAGTATAATAAGGGAAAGTGATGAAGTTGAAGATGAAGCTTCAGAGATTGCTCTTCATTTCAGTGATGGAGGTAAGATACAAAAACTACCCTCATGAATGTGCACTATTTGGTCTAGCCTTGTTAGCCTAACCTAGCCTAGCATGGCTAACACCTTGCCTTGTATGACTTGTATAAAGAGAAATGTGGAGAGTGGAACATCCAACCAGAAAAGCTTAGTATGTATAGGTCAGTGTTTGACAAGGAGTTTAACATGGCCTTCCATACTCCTAAAAAAGACGCATGCAAATACTGCGAGTGGTATAAACGTCTAGAAGACCACGAAAAAACAAAGCACAGTGAGGAATACAATGCCCACCAATTAAGAAAGACCAAGGCAAGAGAACAGAAAGAAACTGATAAAAACAGAGCAAAAGAAGATGAATCATGCAAGGCTGTCACCTTTGACCTTGAGCAAGTCTTGACAACTCCATGGAGTAATGTGAGTAGCCTGTTTTACTCACGAAAGTTGAGTACATACAACCTCACCGTGTATGACATGGGCTGTAAGGATGTTGACTGCTACATGTGGCATGAGGGGGAAGGTGGCCGTGGATCTTCTGAGATCAGCACATGTGTTCACATGTACCTTAAAGGACTTAGTCCTCAAGTGAAACATGTTGTTCTGTACTCAGACACTTGTGGGGGACAGAACAGAAATGCAGCCTTCAGCACTATGTGCTTGCATGCTGTGAGCTCGCTGCCTCTCTCAACAATTGACCACAAGTTCATGGAGTCGGGGCACAGCCAAATGGAATGCGACAGTGTGCATGCCGCAGTAGAAACTGCAAGGCGCAAAGTGTGCATCTACTCCCCTGATGGGTATTACACACTGGTGAGGATGGCAAGGCAGGGAAACCCATACCGTGTGAATGAGCTTCTGCATAAGGATTTCCTTGATTTCAAATCCCTCTCCAACCTCACGGTGAAGAACAGATCAAAAGATGAGGAGGGACAAGCTGTCCATTGGCAGAAGATAAAGTGGTTCCGCTACACGAAAGAAGACCCGAAGACAATCTACTTCAAGTATGATGTCACTGCCCCAACTTTCAAAAAGATTATGGTACGCCTACCAACCAGAGCCACAAGCACCATACAATCACCAAGCTCACTGTATGAAAGCCCCCCAGGCATAAATGCCTCGAAAAAAAAGGATCTCCTCACCCTTTGCACCAATGGGAGTATTCCTAATTACTATGCAGAGTTTTACAACTCCCTGAAAGTAGTAGGCACTGATAGTACAGATGTGTAGTTGACAAGTGGAATGTGTAAACATGACGCATTAAATTAAATGTTAGAGTTAAAGAACTTAAATGTTAAATGTCAAAAATTAAATGTCAAAGTTTTACATGTTTAAATGTTTTAAGGTGAACTAACTGGTTAACTGAATAACTGTTTTAAATGAAATACATATTTTTTCTGTCATGACTCAGAATTGAAATAGGTCTATCTCATTTTGGCCATGCCCAGGCTAAATAAATGAAATATTAATTAATGATAATAATAGCAAAAATAATAAAATAAGACTGTTTTTCTTATGAATGTCAAGTGTTTGAAGCCAATATTTTGTATGTAAATCAGCAGATACGCCTTATTTTCTTTACAAATTCTGTATATGCTTGGTGTCAAAAGGGCGTATCTGCTGTTTTTTACCTATTTTTTATGATTTTGTAATGTTTTACAATATGTTAATTGCTTTAATATATCATAATCTGTTTACTGAACTACTACTTAATACAAGTATGTATGTGGGTGCAATGTTGACGTTGAAGGTTAATAAATACAGTTGATTAAAGTTTGGTCATAATTTTGTTTTCGCTCTCCTGTAAAGTTGGTCAAATGCCACTTACGCCCCTATGGCTCCAAACCCTCGATATAAGCATGGAGAAATTTGTTACATCAATGACTGATTGAATATTCTAGAATTATTTTTCCTATTTAGCATTGCCTTCATTATCTTGAACAGATTATCAGGGGAGAGCGCGAACGCAGTCCCCCACTACCAGAAATTATGCAGTCGAGATTCCCACATTTGGGGAATTCGCAGGGGTCAGCACAACCGGAGTGCAATGGCTGAGCCTCACCCTGGGTGAACCACCTTCTTGATCATGGTATCTCCCCTGCCAGGTAAGTATGAGTTGCTCAGCTCACACACCGGGATTCATTTCACACACACACTTCAGTGACTAACGGTAGCAACACCCCGTTAACTAGCAGGACCAGATAAAGCCTGCTGGCTGCCATCCTACACCACTGAAAGTGTATTGGACTAAATGAGTTGTACAAAACGGGATTTGGGGTGAGTTTTTAGATTTTAAAACACAGTCAGATTACCCAGAATGCAATGCTGCATGAACAGAGCAGACGTTCCTTTTGTTCCTTTCCTTTCATTTTTTTCCCCTTTTCCTTTACAAACAGCAACACTCCAGCACAGTAAATATGCCGAATATATATTCTTTATCTGAAACTACTTTAAAACACATTGTAGAGTAAGAATAAGAACAGTAATGAGGATGTTTTACTTGTAGTACAGCAACTTCCGCTCTTCTTTGCTCAGAGAAACAGGTCTGGTGCTGCCCCCTGCTGGTATGTATGTGAGGAGCCTCCATCTGAGAGAGAAAGGCCATCTATGAGTTGCTTTTCATAAACCACTGACTCTGCAGTTTTTTTTAAAGTATTAAGTAAAAGTATTAAATTTAATAATACTAATTATATGTGATCTAAATTATTGCATTTACTTATTTTTATACAAAATTGAATAAAAGAGAAACCAAATGACCCAAGTTAAACCCGTGCTTCTAGATACTGCAGACTTCATCAATCACGGGAAGTTGAAGGTTCTGGTTATAAAAATTAGTCCTTAAATGTGCGTATTAATACCTGTGGCTACTTGGAATTGGGTTCTCACCGAGCAGCCGTGTTCTCTACAGCAGCGGTCCCCAACCACCGGGCCGCGGACCGTTCCCGGTCCGTCAGTCATTTGGTACCAGGCCGCAGAGAAAAAAGTATATATATATTTAATTTATCGATCAGAGTCTGAGTGATGTTTTATTTTGAAAAATGTTAAAAAAATTGCTGTATTCTCTCCCAATAGGGGGTTTTCAGGTGACGTCACGCTCACGTGACTACTCAGCGCGTCCGCCATATTGGGTGGCAGTCGTTTCGCACCGTTGACCCTGCATTGTATGACGCCTTAGGCAGTATTGACAGTGAAAAATGGTGAAAACGTGTTTAATTGTTGGTTCCACGGCCCGTGGAGGTGGAGATCAACGCTCTTTCTATCGCATACCAGCCGTAATCGTGAATCAATGTGAAAAAACAAAACAGCTATCTGAACAACGCCGTCACCTATGGCTGACACGGATATCCAGGTCCGATTTGGACGGTGTTAAGCTGGAATACGCCAGAGTCTGCAGTGCTCACTTTGTCACAGGTAATTAACTGTCAAGCATTTAAAACATGTAAGAATATATTAATAATAGGGCTTGGGCGTCATGACGTATTACTTTCCGTGGCCGCAATGTTGACTGCCTCCGCCGCCGCTACTCAGACTACTGCCTATGACTACCGCGTACTGGACTCCCTCTCTCAGCCGTGTTTTAATTAGATTAATTTTACCTTAACTTGATTTCAACCAGCGGGAAAAGGCTCAAATATGTGAGAAACCCGGAGGGTTTAGGGAGGTTTGGCAGTTAACGTTACTAACCAAACCTTTGAAACACATAGCAGCTATTTAAAAGTACATTGCATGCCTGAGTGGTTGTTAGCACTAACGGTTAGCACTGTTTGCTGGCTTTATGAGCTGCAGCTCCTGAACCCATCCATTCGTAAACTGCACATGAGATAAATAATTAAAGCCGCGAGCGGCGTCGATCGGCCTTGCAGCCAAGCGCGTTCGCGCACCGCCGGCCGTTAGCCACCTAGCATAGCAAGCCCTGCGTCGGATTGTTTAAATTTTTACCATCTTATTAAAACTCACCCGTCCACGTATGATGGCGATTTCCTCATGTACATCACTTCGACATGTCGTACCCAACCAGATGTGAACTGGTTGTGAGCCTCTAGACCCTTGTACGCTCTCATTTCCTCCAGAGTGTGCAGAGGGTTTTCACTGAACACCGGGTAATGAACTATGTCGCTGTGCTCTACATTTGGCCAATCATCTGGATTAGTGCTAAACAAGGCACCGTGGAGGGCATAGGGGTCCATATGGTCGATCACGGAACATTTCCTCAGATATGTTCCATGATCTGGTGGCTCTAGCGTGCTGGCGTACTTATCCATTCGCGACATGATATATTTAATATACGATAATATGCCACCCAAGATGGCGGACCGAGAGCTGGCCAGTGACGTCACTGAAAACCCCCTATAGTGCGCAATGCAATACATCATGCACGGAAACAGTTTAAAGGTACACTATGCAACCGGTGTTGATTTTCCAGCGAGGCTCCCCCCAGAGGGCGAAAGTAAAAGTGCAATGTCGTAAATATGCACAGCTGTTCTCCTGGTTTCTCCGTCAAGCCAGGCGCGGTTGTTTTGAGCTTAGCAGACAGCCGAACGCAACAAATTACTAATGCTGCGTTCACACCGCAGCTGGCGCGACAGAAGCAGCGAGTTTACATGCAAAGTCAATGGTTGACGCGCGTCAAGGCGCAGCAAAAGGTCCCGCGGCGCATTTTGAGCAGCAGGTGCAGCGCGTCTGAGCAGCTGAAGCAGTGCGTCGGGCACGTTTAATCATCTGACGCAGGGAGAGAGACACAGCGCTGATGATCAGAGGCTATGATCACTCCTCTTAAACAGTTTATTGACGCCTAAATTAACTTAAAATGCAGAAATCTGCCGGCAGAATATGCAGTTTGGATTATTTAGATGAAAAACACCTACCAGCTGCCGCGGTGAACCGCGAGGAGGCGACCCGGCCAGAGGCTGCTGATGAAGGGATTCCTACTGTCGGCGCACCGCTGGTATGTGGGGGTCTGAGCGGCTCCGACAGAAAAAATATTGAAGGCAGGATAATAATCTGAATGAACTGACTGCACTGATTACGTTTTCAGGTGTATTTTCTCACTTAAAAACATATTAAAACTACTTTATTCCCACTGATCACAGCAAATATAGCTGCAAGGCAGAGAAAGGATAGTAAAGCTCTGCCCAACGCGCGTCAGACACACTTTTGCACCGCGCAGCCAGAGCAGCAAAGCTGCTTCAGCCGCGCGTCAGAACTAACTGGTACAAGCAGCAAAAATGAAGCAGCAGACGCAATTATGCTGCGTCCGATGTTAACGTAGCATAACTGCACAAAGATCGCCACTGTGCTAGCAACGAGCATGCTTTTAACTGGGGCCGTGTAGCAGTTCTCGCCATAAAGCAAGACTGACTCTCACGAGACTTCTGAGCCTGTGGGTGCGGGTCGGTGCTCCTGCAATTGCAAGTGCGGTATTTCCCCCACAGACCACCAGAGCGGCCGAGAATACCTTTGTTCAACCTGAAATGACTCATTTAATCATCCAAAACGTTATGGAACACATTAATTAACTGAAAAATGTTGCATAGTGGGCCTTTAAGAGCAGAAAGTTGCTCGGTGTTTGACTGCAAGAAGAGCGGACCGCAGCCGGCGCAACCATCCTCCTCTCAGCAGCCCGTGGGCAGTGTAAAGCCAGAGCGGAATGAATCATGCTGCTTTCACACCGGACGCAGCAAGAGCAGCAAAATCACATCTGCTGCTTCCTTTTTTGCTGCTTGTACCGGCCTTTTGACGCGCGGCTGAAGCAGCTTTGCTGCTCTGGCTGCTCTGGCTGCTCGGTCGAAAAGTGGCTCTGACGCGCGTTGGGAGGAGCTACTCTATCCCTTATTTGCCTTGCAGCTATATTTGCTGTGATCAGTGGGAATAAAGTAGTTTTATTATGTTTTTAAGTGGGAAAATCCACCTAAAAACGTAATCAGTGCAGTCAGTTCATCCTGCCTTCCAATATTTCTGTCTGAGCCGCTCAGACCCCCACATACCAGCGGTACGCTGTCAGTAGGATCCCATTCAACGGGCTTGTTTGTCAGACATGGTAATTTTTCTAAAGGAAAACTGCTAAGTAAAAAGGTCCTCACAATGTAACCGTGAATATTAGACAGAGGAAAAATGTAAATGGAAAAATCAGAGCTTAACATAAAACTCAAGATTTGTACTTTTTTATGTTGTGTAATTTTCTTTTTCTGCGAATTGATATAATATAACTGGTTTTGAAAAAAGTATCGTTCAGGAATCGGTATCGAAGTGAAGGTATCGGTATTGGTACCGGAGCCGAAAATTTTTGAACAATACCCAGCCCTAGTATTTACACCTTAATATAAGCACGGAGCAATTTGGTACATCAATGACTGATTGAATGTTCTAGAATTGTTTTTCCTATTTAGCATTGTTTTCATTATCTTGAACAGATTATCAGGGGAGAGCGCGAACGCAGTCCCCCACTACCAGAAATTATGCAGTCGAGATTCCCACATTTGGGGAATTCGCAGGGGTCAGCACAACCGGAGTGCAGTGGCTGAGCCTCACCCTGGGTGAACCACCTTCTTGATCATGGTATCTCCCCTGCCAGGTAAGTATGAGTTGCTCAGCTCACACACCGGGATTCATTTCACACACACACTTCAGTGACTAACGGTAGCAACACCCCGTTAACTAGCAGGACCAGATAAAGCCTGCTGGCTGCCATCCTACACCACTGAAAGTATATTGGACTAAATGAGTTGTATAAAATGGGATTTGGGGTGAGTTTTTAAACTTTAAAACACAGTCAGATTACCCAGAATTCAATGCTGCATAAAGCACATGTTCCTTTTTTCCCCTTTTCCCCCACAAGTGATTGACCAGTATGTGCTGGGCCTGGTTGAGCAGAGGGGGAGGGGAGGCAGTCACACATACAGAAACAGGAGGGGGAGGGGGAGACGAGAGGAAAAAGGAAGATACCACGAGGAGAGATGACAGAAATGTTTCACCTCATTTAGTAGAAAAGTTAAGTCTGAAATAGTTTCAACTATTTTTTTGTAGTGAATAAGTTCATTTTAATATAACAGAAACAAAAACGCTTGCATTTGTTTTGCTTTGGTTATTAAATATGCTGCATTTTACCTTATTATGAATAATATCAAATTGAGGAAAATAAAGCTGAAGAAATATATGGGTTCCACAGGCTCCGACTTGCTGGATCTTTAAATGGAAATTGAGCTTTAATCAATAAAAAAAAGTCTGATCATTTAAACGATGATTACTATTCAAATACAGAGATTCTGACTGCTTCTCTTCGTTACCTACATTATGTTCTCCATGTTTACATCATAATATAAGCATGGAGCAATTTGTTACATCAATGGCTGATTGAATTTTCTAGAATTGTTTTTCCTATTTAGCATTGTCTTCATTATCTTGTACAGATTATCAGGGGAGAGCGCGAACGCAGTCCCCCACTACCAGAAATTATGCAGTCGAGATTCCCACATTTGGGGAATTCGCAGGGGTCAGCACAACCGGAGTGCAATGGCTGAGCCTCACCCTGGGTGAACCACCTTCTTGATCATGGTATCTCCCCTGCCAGGTAAGTATGAATTGCTCAGCTCACACACCGGGATTCATTTCACACACACACTTCAGTGACTAACGGTAGCAACACCCCGTTAACTAGCAGGACCAGATAAAGCCTGCTGGCTGCCATCCTACACCACTGAAAGTATATTGGACTAGATGAGTTGTACAAAATGGGATTTGGGGTGAGTTTTTTAAATGTTAAAACATAGTCAGATTACCCAGAATGCAATGCTGCATGACCAGAGCACAAGTTCCTATTTTAATTTCCTTAAATTTTTTCCTTTTCCTCCTCAAACAGCAACAATCCGGCAGAGTATATATGTAGAATATACACTCTTTCGTTGGTTTATGAAACTATTTTATATCACAGTAGAGTAAGAATATGAAAAATAATGAGGATGTTTTACTTGCAGTACAGCCACTTCTGCTCTTCTTTGTTCAGAGAAACAGGTCTGGTGCTGCCCCCTGCTGGTATGTTTAAGAAGAGCCTCCATCTGAGAGAGAGACAAAAGTCCATCTATGAGTTGCTTTTCATAAACCACTGACTCTGCAGTTATTTTAAAGCCTGAAAGGAAGCACAGACATTATTACATTTAATAATACTAATTATATGTGATCTAAATGATTGCATTTACTTATTTTTATACAAAATTGAATAAAAGAGAAACCAAATGACCCAAGTTAAATCCGTGCTTCTAGATACTGCAGACTTCATCAATCACTGGAAGTTGAAGGTTCTGGTTATAAAAATTAGTCCTTAAATGTGCGTATTACTACCTGTGGCTACTTGGAATTGGGTTCTCACCGAGCAGCCGTGTTCTCTACAGCAGCGGTCCCCAACCACTGTGCCGCGGACCGTTACCGGTCCGTCGGTCATTTGGTACCGGGCCGCAGAGAAAAAAGTATATATATATATTTAATTTATCGATCAGAGTCTGAGTGATGTTTTATTTTGAAAAATATTTAAAAAATTGCGGTATTCTCTCCCAATTACATCAGTCGGTGCATCTGTGCCTCTTGACACAGGTTAATTCAGTTCAAGACTCATCCTATTTATAACATCCTGTCTTTGTGAAGCGGGATTTTCTGCGGTTACAGCAAACAAAAAAAAGGAGCAGACTGAACATCAGGAGCACACCGTGTGTCATTGTCTCCGATTACGCCTAGATGGGACAGGCTTGTTTCAGAGAAACAAGCTCAGGGTTCCCACTAATTTAACATAATGGTGAGTTTTATTTTTATGCTGTTTGTATTTGATTTTATGCCAGTCGTATCATTTTACTTGATTGTATTTACACCACCCCCCCAGCCGGTCCGTGAAAATATTGTCTGACATATAGCGGTCCGTGGTGCAAGAAAGGTTGGGGACCGCTGCTCTACAAAATGTACATTAAAGTGCTACCCACTGAGCAGCCTACAAACCACTAAAAACATGTCCTTTTGAATCCTGTGCACAAACCTAACATTATTACAAATGTAGGCATGTTTTTACTGATAACTCTTCATTACAACCAAATAATGTTAAACTTTTCTTAAACAATTTTTGTCTTGAACACATTAAAGTTCTTGTAGGGACTGTTTTTATGCAGAACCCCCCACACCCACCCACACGCGCACACTGAATGGAAGAGGAGATGGATTTTGCAAGAACCATTTCTGCCAAGTAGGGGCAGATTTAAAGTTAGCATTTTTTCTTAACATGAGACAAGACTTTGTATTCCAATTATAATCCTTAAAGTGAAAACCCTTTAATCATTTTGCAGACAGTCCCTGCTCCTTTGAGGAGCTGTGAGCTAAGCATAGAGCTGTGAGCTCCCAGCGCCGTGCTTTAGCTCACTGCCTGCCTGGATTTGGCTGCAGAGGAAACTTTCCGCTTAACAGTAATTTATCCAGAAAAAGACCCAATCTGGAACTCCTTTCTAAGAGTGATGTTATGAGATGAGCCGAGGCTTCGAGGCCTGTGTCGAGTAATGGAGGGGGTGTTTCCCCCGAAGCACGTGTCGAGGCGTTATTCATTTAGGGTGATCCCATGTGACCGCTTCGGGAAGTGGTTCAGAAAGTGCAAGAATTTTGACAGGCATCTGAACAGCCTCAGGATTCAGTCAAGATGTGGGAGTTTGTAGAAGAATTGCTGTCAGTTCGATTGAGTTTGGACAGATTCTAAGAATAGATTGGTTGGAAAAACAACCAATCTAGTTTCTTAAAACTATTTTGGTTAGAATAAACAATGTAATGATCAAAATCTGAGCAAGCCACTTGACGGAGTTGGTGTTAAGCAGTATTGCTCTCCGTTGAACAGTTAAAAACGTTTGTGGCGTCATCTCTAAGACAATGACTACCACTCCTAAGGTTGATGGTGGAAAAAAAAAAAATAATAATAACACCTTTTTATAAAAAAAACAACTTTTAAAATTTGTGATTATACTTAATTATTTTGGCTAATGAGACTAATTTGCATTGGTTTGCCATGGTAAAAATATAGATGGGTAAAAACACTGACAAATTAGGCAGGTCGGTTTAGCCAAAAGATTGGTTAAACGCAACACAAAAACTGTGGAGAAACTATTGTGTTCGAATAAAAGTGACTAATTCCTTTCATCTTGCTCATCAATGCCCAATTTGCAGAAGCCCTTTCATTGTCTGCTTGAGTTTATTTCACTAAAATGGCAGAAAAACAGTGCAACTTAAATGATTGTTTGATTGATTGTGACATTTTACACTTAAAACAAAAGAACACTTACAAAAGATTTTATTATACACCCTAACCATTAATTTCAAAGGAATTTAAAAGGGGGAAAAAAAAGAAAAGAAATAGATTTTATTACTAAATGTAGTTCAACACTCCACCAGTAGGTGGTGACATGTTCACGTGGAGCCTCGTGAACTGTGGGGATCGATGAACCAATTTGGCCAAACGGTTCAATGCCTCATGAGGCTTCATCTCACCAGCACTACTTTCTAACTTTTCCGAAGTGTAACAGAACCATACACCAATAAAAGGCTTTTTAATTTGAAAAATGAAAAGTAACTTTTCTAGGGGTTGTCAGAAATGGGTTTAATCATGAAGAAAAGTGGCCTAGAAATAGCGAAATTGAATAAAAACTTTCCAGCGTTTTATTTAAATAGTACCGTACATTTAAGAGAGGAGTTTAGTTTGAACCTCTGTTTTAAAGCGTCAGTGTGTTTTCTGTGCGTCAGCTGGAGACAAGAAGGAAAACTGCACGAGGCGTCAAAAATGGCGACGCTAACGCGCTACCGACCTCAGAGATACCAGGCCCGAATCAATAACTTTGAAATAAAAACTAAAAAAACAACCTAAAAACAATACATATAAGTAAATTCTTACCAATATGCTTTTTCCATTAAATAATTTAGCTTACTTTGAGCTACTAGTCGCAGTGAGCGCTCCAGGTGAGGACTTCTCCACTTAGGGGTCCAATAATGAGCTTCAGTCATGTGACCAATGTCACCCACAAGATTCAGTGGGTTGCCAGATCTGCTCAATAAATCAGTGCATTTTTATTCAACTCGATTTATTTGGTTTTTTTAAAAGCCTTTTCTGATGTCAAAATTACATTTTAGATCATTTTTGAAAGGTAAGGTCATAAAAGATTTTTTTTCTAAGCAGCTGTTCCAACATTTCTGTACTAAAAAGGTTTTCATTGGTTTTCATTGGTCTGATTGTCTTTATTAGCTTTGGACAGAAACATGACATAAAGGGCCGGATTTATCAAGATCCAATTTTGCGTGCAGTAATTTGCGCTCGCAAACTGGAATTTTGCGCGAGGGGCTGAACCATGATTTGCGGGTGATTTAACAAGACCGATTGCGTAACTGGTGGCAGGTGCAAAACTGTTGGAGACGCCCTATTTAAATGATGGTTTTGCGCGTTTTGTGGTTTGCGGCATGGCGAGTTTGGACAGCAGAAGGCGCAAAAGGAAATTCGACCCCATGGAAATGGAGGTGTTGGTGGATGAAGCCAACAAACATTTAAGTGAGCTACAGCAAAGAAGTGTGACTGTCACACAGAGGAACGCTATTTGTGAACAAATCTGTAATAAAGTAAACGCTGTTGGTGAAACCTTGCGAACAGTGGATGAAGTAAAAAGAAGATACCAGGATATTAGAAGGTGAACCAAAGAAAAACTGGCATATAACAAAACATCTGCGAACAAAAGAGGAGGGGGCACAGTAGATGAGATGCCTCTGACCAGCATTGAGGAACAAGTACAGCTGACGCTCTGTGAGGAGCAAATCACTGGAATTGCAGCTCCAAAATGGCAATGCTGGATAAATGTGGAAAAAATGCGTTCTCTGCGTCTCCTTGCTTCATTTCGATGTCTCCTTCTTGCGACAATAACCGCTGCCATGTGTGCGCAATTACGCATACAGACCATTTGCACCTTCTTTTGAAACGTGTTAAATATAGAGTCAGATACCGTTAGCAAAATTGCTTTCAGGTTTGATAAATCACTTTGCGAGTGCTAAATTAATATATTTACATGTTCTCCTCCCACAAGACGCACTTTTGCGTGTAAACGCCCCATATTGCATATTCATTGCAGAAAAAGTACTAAATGGATAAGAGGCGCTATTTAGCACGTTTTAAAGACCAAATCCTTTTAGCACGCTGTTGATAGATCAGTTTGTACATTTTTTAGCGTGCGCAGTGAAATAGCTCACGTTTTTATACACGCAAACCTTTGATAGATCCGGCCCTAAAGGCCTAAAAACACAAGTCTGTGTTTAACTGATTTATAATATTTTTAACTGAACAAATCTACTGAAATAAATTAACTTTTAAGCAATAAATTAGACCATTTATTATGAATGTGCATATTTGAATGTGTCATATATGTTTCTCTGTGTCTACTTGGCTTGGATCACACGCAGCTTTCTTATTCAACACAAGTTTTTGTCTTGGACACATGAAGTTTCTTGGAGGGACTGTTCTGCATGCAGAAACCCCCCACTTTGAATGGAAAAGGAGATGGACATTGCAAGAACTATTTCTGCCAAGTAGGGAGATTTAATCTTTTTTTTTTTCTATTATTAACCTTAAACATTAATTGTAAATCTCCTAAAAATGATGTATGGCTCCTTTCTAGGTGTACGATACATTTCAGAGTAGGACTGGTCTTTGAGTGTGGTCCTGATTAGGGTCTACAATAAGATAGGATGTTTATTCTCCTTGCACGCTATTGTAAACAATATTCAATTCAATTTAAATTCAGTTTATTTATGTAGCTCCAATTCACAACACATCTCAAGGCACTTTACAGTTCACCAGATCATACAGTCGAATTGATTCAAAGTTTTCTTTGGTTCCAGAAGTAAAATTAGGAAAAGATAAATACACAAAAAAAAAAAAAAAAAAAAAATATATATATATATATATATATATATATATATATATATATATATATATATATATAGTCAGTAAAATTAAGTAACAGCTTAGACAATAAAAGTATATACAAAGCTGTTTAAAAGCCATTAAGGAGTCTTAAACTGTGTGGTATGGGGAATTATAAAATAAAATAAAGGATTATATACTCTCTGAATTTTCCTGTTTTTTATTAGTGGAGTGGACGAGAAAATGACACAAGAGTCAGGGAAGATGATGTACTAAAAGAGGAAGAAGAAAAAGGTCCAGATAAAAGATCATCCTGAAGGACCAATCAACATCTTGTTATTATCAGGGACTTACAAGCTCTTCTTTTTGTGTGTGTGTTTTGCTAATATAGCTCTGGCAACTGATTTCCCAAATCCAGATAATAATCCAGCAGATTTGCTGTCACAAGCAGACTGTTATAGTTGTTGCCATAAGGTTCCGCTTGGTACTTACATACGAAACCTTATTGGTTCTTATTTATGGATTAAAAACGTATGCAAGGGACATGGAGAAAGAAAGGGAGCAGTGATAAGAATTCAGGGGAGAGAAAGAGAAATGAAAGACTTTTGACTTTTAATAACACGTTATTTACACAATTCAAAACATATATAACAATGAAAGAGGGAGGAGAAAAAAGAGAAAAAAGCACAAACAAAACTAAATAAAACTATTATTATTCCTTTTGGAAGACAGGAGGGTAAATAATTTATCAAAATTGTAGAAATTTAAACAAAAAGGGTGGAATCAAGATGAAAAAGGAAGGAATTTAGTATTAATAAGGAATTTTAGTGAGAGAGAAAGAAGAGAAGGGGTAGCAATGTTGATACCAAGGGTATGACATAATTATATGTTATGTGAATGGAAAGATTAAAATACGTTGGAATGAATATTGGGAACTGGACAAATAAAAAAGATGAATAATTAGAAAAGCATTATCCGTTTATCTGCATAACACAAAACTAATGAACAGTAGTGAGAATTTTTGTGGGTAGAAGCTGTTGTTGTTACACTCCAAGGTATAGTAGGTGGGGTAAGCATCAATAACCTGTTTGCAACCCAGCATAATAAAAAAGGAAAACAAGAAGATTTGGTTTTACAATTGGGACACGGGACTGAACATTACACTTTTTAAATACTAAAACATAAAGCAACAAAATATGTGGGAAAAATTAGAGTTAGATTAGATTTCCAAAAATACTAAGTTAAATGAAGCTTGTGATAAATTAATTGGGGAAAATTAAGGTAATAATTTAATAGAAGCAAAAAAACAACTTAATGTTTAACTTAATTATGTTAAACGCTGTAGATATTACAGTATTTCTGAGTTGCTAAGACACAAAAATCCATTCGCAAAACCAAAGTTGCAAGAGTACAAACCACTTTATTGATTGAAGCACACAGTTTGTAGAACTTTAAACTCTTCTCATGTGGTTAGACACAGCTAGCAAATCGGAATCGCTCTTTGTGCAAAACTGTAAACACATTGTCATTCAAAAAGCACATGTAGCATTTTGGTGCACTTCAACTCAGAATGCCACAACACAGCCCCAAAAGTGAAATACAAGTAACACACTGTTGTCCGAGTCACAAACGATCTCCTCATGTTATCCGATGCTGGCTCTTCATCCTTCCTCATCCTCCTCGACCTTTCTGGTGCATTTGATACTGTCGACCATGGCATTCTCCTAAACCGGCTCCACCTCACCGCTGGACTAAATGACACTGCTCTCAGTTGGTTCAGGTCATATCTCACCAACCGGACAGAATCCATCTCCCTCGGCCGCTCCAAATCAAATCCGCACACAGTTACGTGTGGCGTCCCTCAGGGGTCAGTCCTCGGCCCCATCCTCTTCATCCTTTACCTTACCCCCCTTGGCCAAATCAACAGCCGCCACAATATCTCATTCCACTGCTATGCTGATGACATACAGCTCTATGTAAATGTCACAGCTGACCCCCCACCACCCTCACAGTAATCCCCATCAAAACTCACCACCTGTCTGGAGGATATAAAGGTATGGATGGAGAAAAACTTTCTTCAACTAAATAGCTCCAAAACCAAAGCCATCCTGGTTGGAACTCCTCATCAAACTAAATCATTAACCATAACCAGCATAACTTTTTCTGGTACTAACATTCCGCTTTCATCAACCGTTAGTAATCTTGGTGTAAGAATGGACTCACAACTCACTTTTGAAGCCCACATAAATCAATTATGCAAGACTTCTTTCTACCACCTCAGTAACATCTCCAAACTCCATCCCATTCTCTCCCTCCCAGACGCCGAGAAGCTGGTCCATGCCTTTGTCTCCTCCAGACTGGACTATTGCAATGCACTTCTCATTGGGATCCCTAAAAAGAGTCTGCATAGGCTTCAGTACATTCAAAACTCTGCAGCTAGGATAGGAAACATGAGCACATTACCCCCGTTCTCCATTCACTATACTGGCTTCCCATCCCCACCAGGATAGAATACAAGGTCCCCCTCCTCACACATCAATGCATCCATGGACATGCCCCCCCCCCACCTCAAAGAACTTATCAAGCCACAGAACACGTCCCGCTCCCTTCGCTCCACTCACTCAAACCTGCTCCACATTCCCAGAACCAGACTCAGGACAATGGGAGATAGAGCATTTTGTGTTGCTGCCCCACATCTGTGGAATTGCCTCCCTGACACCTTGAGGGCACCTCAGTCCACTGAGTGTTTTAAAAAAGGCCTTAAAACATTTCTTTTTAGCAAAACTTTTGGTCCCCCTTAGATGTAACTTTTTTCTCTTTTAAAACAGCTTTTATTATTATTTTTTTCTATTTCTATGTATTTCTTTTTTAATGCTTTTTTAATGCTTTTTTAAATGCTTTTTTTGTAGCACTTTGAGGACTTTTTGGTGAAAAGTGCAGTATAAATTAAATGAATTATTATTATTATTATTACTGTTGTCATCCGTAACACACAAGCACTCGAAATTTAACACACCTGTTTCAAATCAGTAATGTGTTGCACCCAATCAGTAATGGGGACATAAAGCCATGTCAAATCCAAATGGCTTGTGATTTTCACAATGGAGGGCAGGATAGAAGGTGGAAGTGGACGTGGAGGAGGAGGAGGAGGAGGAGGAACAATAGCCATCATTTCCAATAAAATTAGAGCAACAATCCTACACCATGTTCTTGTTCATGGAATGAGTATGAGGGAAGCAGGACTACATGTTCAACCAAATATAAGCAGGTTCTCTGTGGCCTCCATTGTCAGGACATTCAGAGAACACAACCGGTAAATGTACTATCATTTGTGGTCCCTCAAACTTACAGTACAGTATGTACAGTTGTGGAATGTCTCAGTAAATTACTGTAACATCTCTAAAAATTGGCCCTTTTCTTGCAGGATTACAGTAAAACTAATAATATTATTACATGAAAATATATATTTTATGTATTTTACATATTTGGTTACATTGCATTAGGTCTGTCTGTACAATTCTAACAAGATGTTTTATTTGCTAGAATTGAAAGACTGCCACATGCCGGTGGAAGGAGAGGTATATTCTCACAACAGCAGGAGACCATTATTGTCAATATGGTCCTTCAAAATAATCTCATTCGTCTGCGAGAAATACAACAGCGAGTTGAGGAAGACAACGAGAACTTTGAAGGAATCAACAGTGTGAGTCTCTCCACAATTGACCGTGTCCTGAAACGCAACCTGATAAGTCTCAAACAAGCCTACAGAGTACCATTTGAGAGAAATTCTGAGAGGGTAAAAGAGCTACGATATCAATATGTACAAGTAAGTAATACGTAATGTCCAGAGATTATACAGCACTATTGAGTTACTGTACATCTTTACTGGGTTGAATGTAATGCAGCACATGTATACAGAGTCATGAAGCCTGGAATGCTATGTGATTTACGTAATATCAAAAACGAACCATTATAAAGTTGCTAGGGCAGGGTGGTGGCAACGTGACCATATGTGCTGCCATAAGCATGTGACTTTAGGACCTTACAACACTGCCCATCTTATAAAGTTTCTGTATGCTCTACAGGAAGCATTATTGAGACGTGAGGAGAGGGGTGATGAGCAGGCAGAGAATCCCGTGTACCTGGTAATCTGGGACAATGTGAACTTTCACCGTGGTCCTAGAATACGTGAGTGGTTTGAAAATAACCCACGTTTCATAAATGTGTGCCTCCCACCATACTCGCCCTCCCTTAATCCCATTGAAGATTTTTTTTCTGCATGGAAGTGGAAGGTCTATGACAGAACACCTTATGCCTAGGAAAAACTCCTTTAGTCAATGGATGCAGCATATGACAACATTGGAGTGGAATCGATTCAAGGTTGGATTCGTCATGCTAAAGGATTCTTTCCCCGTTGTTTAGCAAGGGACAGGATTGCCTGTGACATTGATGTGGTCCTGTGGCCTGACCATGCCCAGAAGCATGATGCTGAGGCAGAATGATTCCAAGACATTGCTATCAATCTGCTGCATATTTTGTTTGTGACTATATTTGTGTGCAGGATTGTGCAAGTACTTCATAATAAATCTATTTTTCCCCCTGCTCTGCTTTGAGTGCAGTGTTTTGCATTTATCTCTGTAGTGTGTAATGACTGCTGTGTAGTGTTTTTGCATTAGCTGGATGTGTGTGACATCTGAAAACAGTGTTTGGTTTTGGGTAAAGATGACATAGTTCTGAAGCAATTGTTTGATATAGCAAGACAAGTCAAATGTTTTGACAGTGTAGCTTAAGTTTGGTGATTTGTGTTTAAGGTTTTGGGAAAGAGAAATTTTCAAAAAATGTGTTTCGAATTCTACTCCATACCGGATGGTGGCGGTAACGTGCGACTCACGTTCTTTTTATTTTTGTTTTGCCAACCTCCAATTAACACCAGAAGAAGAAGACTGACATTTCGTTTCCGGGTTAAGATTTTCTCTGACTTTTGTATCTGAACAAGAGAAAACAACCCTGCAGCGTTAACCATAACATTTGTTTTGTCATTCTAAGAAAATAAGTCATTTATGGACTCATCTAGCCTCAAGGGGAAATATATGTCTTTACTTTTGCGTTGGAGAAATTAAAAGCAATGATCAGCTAACTCCTTAATGATGCTCAGCGGGATTTTACCCGACAAACCAACCCATGCTCACACCGAAAAGGTATGAAACACCGCCATGAGTTCCAGCATGTAGGAGCAAGTTCTGCTGCTGGTTACCCTGCCCCCACACTGTCTCAGTATTGTTGTTATTCTCTCACAGCTGCTCCCCCCATGGAAGCATCAAAGTATTGTTTATGACTTTATCATAAAATCAGCTTTACCACATTTTGATTCCAGATATCTTGAATCATTCTTTATTAACTAGAAATACTAGTTAATTAGGATATCTGCATTTATATATAGACTAGACAATATTTCAGATATCTCTAATTAAATTGTGACTACATTTCTGGACTGAATGCACCATTCCGGTCCGAATGCACCATTAGACCTACAATAATACGTTTTGTTTTTTTGTATACCTTTCTAGAACTGGTGTGTTGAAAATGGAGGAGCCTCTAGCTCACCAGCAGCTCTGCAAACAAGAGAATAACTTCTGTTTGGACCAGATGAAAGCAGAGCCCCTGCAGATTAAAGAAGAGCAGGAGGAGTTTGAACTTTCACTACTTAAAGAGCAGCAGGAGGAGTTTGAACCTTCTCAAGTAAAAAAGGAGGAAGAAGAAGAAGAAGCCCATGTTAGTCGGGATAAAGACAATATTTTGCTTAAGTGGAATACTTATAGCTTTGAGGTTTCACCTGTTAATGAAGAAAAATACCACCTTGAACCTGAACCAGATGGAGACCAACTGGATCCTCAGGAGGCTGCTGGAGCTGAGAACCAGGATCGGGAAGAAAACCATCAGGAAGACACAGGATTGAGGTCCGATAAAGAGCTAGAACAAAGTAAGACATGATTTTGGTTGCAAGAGCAGACAGGAGAAAAAACAAAGATGAGGTATAATAATATAATAACAATATAACAGATGTTGAAAATGTGCCATTTAAAAAAGTCACATTTGATTTGAAATTTCATGACAGTTATTGAGATAATCCATTGAGACTTTGTTCAATCATTTTATTTAACCTTCTACATGTTCTTTCAAACTCACATTTCCACTAAAATTGACTGAAGCACCTTTCAAACGTTCCTCAGATTAGAGGGTTGTTACTGCCAACTAGTGGCTGCAATGTGAACTACACTATGTTCACCAAAGGTAATTGTCTAGTGGATTATTCTAATTTATGTTACTGAATTTAGCAAATTGTCACACTACAAAAGGAAGTTGCGTTCAGAAAAAAATGCCTCTTTGTTTATATTCTGCCAGAGGTTTCGTTTTTTACGACATAAAGAGGCTAGTTAGGCTGCTAGTGAGAAATATTGTATAAAAGTGTAACTTTGCATCCCTGTAGATACACTTTAATTAGATTAAACTATTCACAGTTGAAGTCAAATAACTACAAAACAGTTTTTAAAATCCATGACTTTTTTTCATATCACTAACATCAGATCAGACGAAACTTTTTTTATGTCTGTTGACTGGTTGCTCTTCTACTTGTTTAGAGCCTGAGTAAAGGAAATGGAGAGGGGTTAGATCATTAAAAGCATATTCTTCTGCCCACTCATTATCAGATGAGAAGTGGATAAAATAACTGGGGTTTTTTTTACATTTTTTATTATTTGTATTTTGTATTAAGTTGTCCCTCTAGATGAAAATATTGTGTGTTTTGTTTAACTGTCCTTAAAAAAAGGAACATCTTTATAGAAAATGACCTTCCTCAGATTCAGAGGTTTAGCTTCACTGTGAATGAGATGATGAGGTTGTAGAGTTGAGTGAGTTGAATGTAGGCCTGAATGATTTTGCAAAAAATCTTAATTTTTATTATTTTCAAGTAATATTGCAATTTTATTTTAATCTTCCTTTCCACTAACCACACGCTTTTACATTTTTCTTCTCAGACTTTCCCTTTTTCAAACCTTGCTTTCAAGGAGTCTATTGTTGCAGGATTTTACTCTAAGTTTGTGTGGAGTAATGGTTATATTCTAGTTGCATGGGTCTGTGTGCTAGCTATAACTCTCTCTACCTTTCTGTGTGGACAAATCCACTTTAAGTGTTTTACTGCCACTTAAGGGCTGGAGAAATAAATTCCAGCAAACTGTTGAGAAAACCTTGTGAAATTATACACATTACATTTAAGCTAAGTTTAAAAAGTAAGCCTACCACATACTAAGAATGCAAATGTAAAATTCTAACTGTGAAGAAAGTAAAAAAAAATAAAAAAAAGATCTCACTCGTAATTATGGCATTAAGTAAAGAAGTTATTTTGTATTTATGACCACCTTAAAACAGGAGAACTTAAGCTTGGTTTTTATGTCAATGAAGGAACACAAAAAAGGTTGTTTCTATTATAAAGTTTGTGTAAAATTTCCCCTTTAATTTTGCCATTTTATGAGCTGGATGATATTTGTGCTATTGGTCACATTTTAATCAGCGGTTTTCTGTGTCGATTAGACGTGTTCTCCTCTGGCGAAGATCATCCCTCTTCATTCAGAAGACAAACATCTAAACATGGATGCAATGAGACACAGGTGAGAAAATTCTCAAACCGTAAATTGCTTGAAATAAAAACATTGCCATCATGCAAATATATAAACCAGGAGTTATGTCTGGATACAAATATATGCAGAAAAGGAAATACAAATCTGTTGCTCTGTTAAAATATGTAAATATACAATACAATAAAAAGTTAAAGGTATAGTGGAGGATGTTCTTTTTCGGGCGCATTATCAAAATAATTGTAATTGTTAATCATTCTGGTGATATGTTTATGTAAGGCCGTCCTACGTGCTTGTCCTGTTACCTATAATTTTCTGCTTATGTGCACTTTCAGCTGCATATCTGTGAGGAGCTACGTCATTGAAGCTCACTTTTCTAACTGCGGTTCTTTGAAAATGGCAGAGGGTCGTAAGAGAAAAAATGTCTACGAAGTGTATGAGAAGAAGAAGGGCCCCAGAAGAGTCAGATATATCCCAGAATGCTTTGTGCGAAGAGCTCTCCTCACAAAGTATTATGGGATTTTCTGTCACAGCGTCCCACTGCTGCCCATGGCTGTCGCTACCCGACAGCGGCGACTAATAACTAAGATGGCGCAGGCACCGTGCGGGGAGGTGGAGTTACGTGACCAATGGGGAGCAAAAAGTAGATCAACTGCGCAAAGATCATCTGCCCGAACAGTCAATTAAACTATTTCAATATATAGTCCCCGCTCTATATAGAGATTGAGGGATTTAAGCGGACGTTCGGACACAGTAAGCATGTATAAGCTATGAGAACAGCAACTTTTAAACAGAGCGTGCACAAGGAGAAATGTGCATGCTCTCGCATGCATTTATTAGGCGTTCCCTCTCAGGAGGGGGTACAGGGTTGTGCGTGTGCATTTTTTCTTTAAATGGGAGGGGTCTTTTAAAAAAATGTGTGAAAATCTTCCACTATACCTTTAAATGCAGATATGTACCCTTGATTTAAAAGTAGAAACTAATAGATTCATGTTTCCTGCAGGGCGATAGCCTTCGAATCAGAATCCCACCAGCTGAGAGCGATGACAGCTGTCTAAGTGACAGCGATGACAGTGATGAGGACAGCAGATTTAAACCAGGTTATGAAAGCAGTAGTGATGAAGACTCTGACAGCACCAGCACTGCCAGTGCAAGCTTTCACTCAGGATCCTCTAAAACAAGAAGTTGGCGAAGGTTAGCGTGGGAGACCGTGCAACCACTGAACTCAGCGAAAGACGTTCCAATCTGGGGAGGCTCTCTTCATGGTGCTGATGAAACCAGAGAGCCCATACAGTATTTCCGGGACTTTTTCGATGCCAATCTTTTGAATACCATCGTCCAACAAAGTAATCTTTACTTCACACAAGAAATCAAAAATAATCTCTACAGCGGCCTCAAGCTGGATCTAAATGAACTGGAGCAGTTCATCGGCACTCTAGTGTACATGAGTGTCGTAAATCTACCAGCGTCAAAAATGTACTGGGCCAGTGAATGTCGAGTAGAGCAGGTGGCTGATGTGATGAGCCGAGAGAGATGGAAAAAAATTAAAGAATTCATCCATTTCAATGATAACAGCAGAATGGATGCAGGCAGTGGGGATGTTCTCTACAAGATTAGGCCTGTTATTGATTCACTTCTCCAAAAGTTTCACAGTCTGCCTCAAGATCAAAAGTTATCTGTTGCTCAGCATATATTGCCTGTTAAAGGTACGTCTGGTCTATTGCAGTATACCCCAAAAAGGTCACGCAAATGGGGATACAAAATCTTTGTACTGTGTGATACGAAGGGCCTGGTGCATTCTTTCCACGTATTTACTGGGAGAATAGACCCTGTACCAGGAGAACCAGACATCGGAGCAAGTGGAAACACTGCATTAAAGCTCACACAAGTTGTTCATCATTCTGTCAATCATCTTTTGTTTTTTGACAGCTGGTTTTCTTCCTTGGACTTGTTTTTAAATCTTGCAAACAAGGGGATACAAACCTTAGGGAGTGTGGAGGAAAGTAGCCTCCAAGGTTGCAGTTTCAGCTCCGACCTTGAGCTGAAGAAGAAGGGAATGGGGTCATTTGAAGAGAAAAGGGCTGCAGTCGACAATTTAGAAATAAGAGCAGTCAAATGGTTTGACTATAGAGGGGTGGTTGTTGCGAGCAGTTTTGCGAGTGCCCAGCCTGTGTCCAACATCCAAAAATGGGACAGAAAGTTGAAACAGAAGGTTGTTGTGGAATGCCCGAGCATCATCAGCCTATATAATGAGTTTACGGCTGGTGTTGATGCTCTCAATACACTGATTGCATCTCATCGCATCCGGATTAGGTCCAGAAAGTACTACCTAAGATTATTTTTTCATTTTGTCGACATGGTGATTGTAAACAGCTGGCTGTTATATCAGCGTGATTGCAAATCCTTAGATGTTCCAAGAAAGAAGCACAAAGACTTTCTGGCTTTTAGAATTTCAATAGCACAAGCCCTCTGCATGCAAGGCAAGGATCTGTCTAGCAAGAAGAGGGGGTGGCCATTCCTGGATGTTGAAAGTGAGTTTGAAAGGAAGAAACGCAGAGGTCCCGCCAAGGCTATACCAGCTCAGAAAGTCCGTTCAGATGCTGTTGGCCACTGGCCCATGGTTGAAAGCGCAAGACAGCGCTGTAAACTTCCTAACTGTAGGGGGCAGACTGTGTTTAAATGTTCAAAGTGCAATGTGCATTTGTGCCTCAAGAAGAACAAGAACTGTTTTGGAGATTTTCACAAGTAATGCTGTTTTCTTCCAAACAAGGGGACACCGGTCCTAAACTGTGGAGCCAAATGATTTTCCTGTTGTTGATTAATGTAAAAATGAAACAGAAATGATTAAAAAATTTTGTTAAACTTCCAAGTCCTGCTCTGTAACAGCAGTGTAAATAAAAATCTATACACACCTGGACCTTGTAAATTCATTGCTTCTTCTTTACCATTGGTGATATTTATTGTTTATCTCCAAATGAGTATACATCTCCATCACTTTGTTGACCAAAGTGGATATTGTGTTGTGTTCATTTACCTGTATGACTAAAATTCGCAGATATAATGCTGCTCTATTTAAGACTAAAGGTGCCAGCTATTTATACTGGGCTTCCCGAATTAAATTGGATTAACCACCTCATACACTGCAAAAAATATAAATCTCAATAAGTTATTTTTTCTTAAAATAAGTGTGTTTTTCCTTGATTTGAGGAGATAAGTAAGACACTTTGCCAATGGAACAAGACAATTTCCTTTTAAAATAAGAAAAAAATATTTTATCGTCTTATTTCAAGTAAATGTTATCTAACTATCTTATTTTAAGAGTGAAAATACTCATTCCATTGGCAAATCATCTTATTTACCTGCTCAAATTAAGGCTAAATATACTTAATTTAAGCCATTTTTTACTTATTTCTGGATTGTTTTTGCAGTGTACATTTATTTCAGCTGGATTTCACTTGATATCCATTTAGGTGATTCTTGGCCTAGTGGTTAGAGCAGTGCACTTGTGCTCTGAGAAGGTTGCAAGTAACCTGTTTGATCCCCACAGATCACTGGGCAAGACCCTTAACCACACACTGCTCCCCGGGAGCCGACCAAGGGCAGCCCACTGCTTCCCAAGGTGATGGGTCAGATGCAGAGGTCAATTTCTCCAATGTGAGATCAATAAAGTTCAATTATGATTATTATTTACCGTAACCTTTTTTCTTAAAGAGTAGTCTATATCATCTTGCTGCCAGGCGTAATTTTAAAAAACATCAACTACATCTGATTTGGAATGTTATGTTATTTCTCAACTTGGCTTAAAAGAAATATTAGGATAGATTTATAGTATACAACTCTTCTTATACCACAGAATAATTCACCTTTTTTTCTATTTTTGTCCATTTTGAGACAAGCTCTGTTGGTTATTTTTATGTTGGCTGTTGAATTCCCTCAAATAAAGCAACTATTGCATGCTTTGGTAACACAGAATCATGAACACTGGACCTAAGAGAGAGCTGTTGTTCTTTGTTGTTGTATTCTTTAAATAGAGTATATTTGTGACACCTTTATAGGACTCCTAAAAAGTCAGCAAATATTTGGAAATCTAGAGTTTTGTTTTATTGTGTGGGTCGGATAAGTATATTAGTACTAAGAATGAAAATAATGTTAGTCTGCCCTTCATAAGAGGAGACGAAACTTAGTGGACCGACTAAAAAGAAAAAAAAAGAACAGCAGGAAGCAGTCACAGAACTAAAAGCTAAACAAAAAATTACTTCATTCTTACAGTAGGAGCTATTCAAAATTTCCCCACTGTCCTTGATGGGTCCTGGACTGGTCCCCTACAATTTCTTTTTAAACATCAATCTTTGCACTAAAATATTCTTTCTGTCACGATTGGTGGACATTAAGATCTAAAGAAAAGCATAATCTCCTGGTCAGTCCCTGTATTTCAGTAAAAGGGTCAGAGTAAAAAAAACATGCATGCCAAGAGAAGACTAGTGACTGGAAGTTGCAGGGAAGTGAGCTGCCATTCGGCTGGCGTTTGACTGGGAAGGGCTATTTTGAAAGGCTGCTACTGTATGAATTCAATTCAGTTTATTTATATAGTGCCAATTGACAACACATGTCATCTCAAGGCACTTTACAGTTCAACCAGATCATACAGTCAAAATGATTCAAAGTTTTCTATCTAAGGAAAACCAGTTGATTGCATTGACTCAAATACAGTCCCTCACACTAAGCTTGCTTGTAGCGACAGTGGAGAGGAAAAACTCCCTTTTAACAGGAAGAAACCTCCAGCAAAACCAGGCTCAGTGTGAGTGGCCATCTGCCGAGGATGACTGGGGTTCAAGGAAACAGAAGTGGAGATACAAAAGGCAGCTTTAGAAGGCGGCCCCGTCCAGGAAACACACAGCAAGGCAGACGAGCACCGAGCCAGCTCCCATGTCAGAGGATGAAGAGAGAGCATCCAGCTAGTCAAAGTGTATGTAACACTTTAATCAAATCAATCTAAAACAAATAAAACAATTCATACCTGCATTGTATAAGCCAACACTCAAGGTCAAATCCTAAGGATTTGGTGTAGCCCTGCAGCATTGAATAGCAACATTACTTGGTGGGTCAAAAAACAGTTTTCAGGAGGCTCTTGTTATGTTACGCACTTGTTTTCTGAAGCTTCCACCTAGAACTTAATAAAGACAGTAGTATGTTTTTTTTTTAAATATAAAGTTATTAAATATGTTTCTTTTTTGCTGTAACTCTATGATACCCACATTTTCCTCATATATACCTGTGCCCACACCCGTGAAATAATATGTTTTTTTTTCTACCCATAGATGTAATTTTATATGCGTATCGGCCGAATACCTGACTCGTTGTGAGGTGGTATGGATTATCTCAGAAAAGGAAAAGTGCTCACTGTCACAGATTTAGACTGGTTTGTGAACAATATTTGAGGGAAATTGTTATATTATGTATGTGGAAAAAGTTTTAGATCTTTGAGTTTATCTCATAAAAAATGTTATGTTTATGTATGATTGATTAATGTGAAAATAAAACAGAAATTATTAAAAATGTTAAACTTCCAAGTCCTGCTCTCTAACAGCAGTGTAAATAAAAATCTATACACACCTGGACCTTGTAAATTCATTTCTTCTCCTTTACCATTGGTATATGCATGTGTATATATACGTGCGTCTATGATCAATTACCATGCTGTATTAACTGTTATTCTTGTTGGTAGTGAAATTAGTGAAAATAGTGAGTTATGCATATCATTTAGAAAACTTTCTGTTGGTTTGTGACTTTTACTATGGAAGGAAATCAATATTTAAGTCTCCACATCATGTAATCTCATTGATTGTATCTTCGATCTAATGGAGGCATTTGGTTATCATCAAAATGGGCCTACTTCCAATTTGTTTGAACGTGGTTCAACATCATTCAAGACAGATTGAACATCATAGTTTTCCGAATTAAATGTTGAAAATTCCTGATTTACACTAAAACCGTCTTCATGTTCAGAGGAAGGTCCATCAGTGGGCAAGTTATTCATAGTGATGTGAAGTAATTTTACATTTACCTTAATTAAGAAGTCTGGAAAAGTCAAGCTCAGTTTCTTATCTAATCCAGATTACCCATTCTAATACCAAAAAATAAATCTAAGAACATTTTGTTGTTAAAATAAGTGCATTTTTCTCTGGAACTGACCAGATGAGACACTTTTCCAATGGAATAAAAACATTTCAAATATTTTATATTTCAATAACTAGACATTAATACACATTAGATCTTTTATAATGTAAATCTAAAAGTAAATGTCTCCCTATGTAAAAATAACCAAACTTAAACAGTTCAGGAGTGTTCTCTGAGTTTATTCTCAGTGTGGATCTCTTTGTTTCAAACTGATATTTCATGATTTTATTCAATCCTGTGTGCAGCAGCAGAGCAGTTTGAGAGGAGAATCACTGATATACCATTACAGTACAAATATTTACATTAAAAAAAACGACATTTTAATTACATGACACGTTACAAAATATCTCACTCAAACCCATTGGAGAAAATATTTGAAAAGGATTTCAGAGATGTTCAACAGGTACTGGTATCCTCTTTGGTTTCAGGGAGTTTTAGGTAAAATTTACTGTTACAGTTTACTCAGAAGGAAAAACTGCTACTAGATACTGTTTGAACCAGCCAGAAAAGCAAGAAAAACAGACTTAATATTGCTTGTTTACTGTTCATTTAGTTTTAAACCTTGACACACTGACAAAAGCAGTTTGGCAGTAAACATCTGAAGGCATTTTAGTAATTCTTAACACTTTCAGCATCGTCATCGTGGAGCCTTCCAGGATCGAACCAAGCTGAATGCAATGAGCCTGAAGGGCTTAGTGTCGCTTTGATCTTTTCCAAATTTTAAGCTAAAAACATTGAAACACAACCTTAATGTACTTTAGGGGAATTTTCTGTAGTAGACCAACACAAAGGTAGTGAAGAATTATATCAGGAAATTAGTTTTTCAATTAAACAACTGTACATCTAAAAGGACAGATTTTAATCAGTTTGCATTGTAGCTCGGGCTTAGTTAGATTGGATAAAGAGAGTCTGATAAATAATTTTATTTTATGGTTTTGATGCAGATTTTCTAATTACCGTGGGCTGTTCGAATATGGTTTTCTAAAAGAATAGAATTCAACTTTACTGTTATTACACTGTCACATGGGCCGCTAATCTCAAATCGCAGCTGTCCACTGTGATTCTTGGTCTAAAGGAAACCTTTTTACTTATGTTATATAGAACATTAACATGATGAAACCGTCTGATTTAATAACACACAATGGGGCCACGTTTACTAATGACTTGACTTGTATTTGTGCTGTAATTTATTTAGGGGAATCGGAGTAAAGGAGGGGGGTTAATATAAATGCATGGTGCTTCATTCAGATGTATATGTGTAAAACTTTTAAAACCATTTTATTACTTTTTTTTTTTTACTTCCACTTCACAGCTGAACTACACCTTGTGTTGGTCTGTCACACAAAATCCATCCAAGAAATGCTTAAAATTTGAGGCAAAATGTGGAAAAGTTGATAGATTTGGGGGGGGGCTCATGACATTTGTTCAGAAACCAGGGATTTCTTATCGTCTTCCAGGCATTTCTGCTCTTCCTCTTGCTCTCGTCCTGCAGCTTCTCTTGCTCTCTCGCGTTCCTCCTGCTCGTGCAGGGAGTTCTGCCCCGTGGTTTTGCCATGCTGCTCCTTCAGGTGGCGTCGTAAGGCAGGCTTGTGGGCGAAGCGGGCGTGGCAGTAGGCGCAGCGGTGTGGCCTCTCTCCGCTGTGGAGGTTCATGTGATCTATCAGCGTCGACTTCTGGGTGAACGTCTTGTAGCACAGGGGGCACTGGTGGGCTTTGGCGGCTCCTCGGTGCACGGCCATGTGTCGGGTGAGGTTGGTGGAGTGGTGGAAGTGTTTCCCGCAGCAGGGGCACACGTACAGCAGGTGGGTGGAGCGGGAGTGGATGGCCAGGGAGTGAGCCGAGGGAAAAGTCAGGCCACAGTGCTCGCAAATTACAGGGCCAGTGACGCTGGAAGTGGAGCCCACCACAGCGACAGACTCATCCCCGCCCTCGTTTGTTCCCACAGTGTTCAACCCTGAACTCCCCTCACCAGCGCCAGACTCCTCCAGGGAGAACTGATTCATAGGGGAAACCTTTTCCCCATGGATACTGTTCAAACTGAAGTCAAACCGGGGAATATCAATTAAATAACTTCCTGCCGTCTTCAGCTCCTCTTGGCTAAAGTCCAGGCCGAACCCTCCACCCAGTCCAGCAGTTGCGGCGTACCACAGATCCGGACGATGAGCTATATTTGGTGACCTCCTCTCGTGGGATGATGCCCACTTTCGCTTTTTTAACCCCCTTCCTCTGCCTCTCCCTCTGCCGCGCCCAATTTTGGGCTCGGACAGCTTCCGTCTGAAAGCGCTGATGCCTCTGAAACTCAGATCCTCCGCAGAGTCCAGATCGCACTCGCTCCCGTCTCCTGCAATGAAAATCCTGTCCGTCTCTGGATAACGCAGATCCTGAGGAGCGTCCACAAAATCTGCTTTCTCCGCCTCCCCGTCTCTGTTCATCAGCTCATCCTCTGGGATGTAAACTCTGAACACATTGTAGTCCTCCGGCTTGCTCTCTTCCTCCTCGCCCAGCATGTTTACCTGAAAAAAAAAGAAAGAAAAATAATACAATTACAAATATGTTGTATGTTTTTTTTTTTTTTTTACTTTTTCCTGCTGTGTCTTGAACACAATGAAAAACAAAAAATAAAAAATAAGAAATAAAAAGATAAAAAATACAAGGTAGTAGCACAGAGGTTTGAGGTGACATATGTACAATCCAGATGGCTTATAAACAGGTGGATTTACTTTAACGTTAAAGTGTAGTAGGTGAGGAGCCTTGAGAGAGAATTAATAACCCATCTATTGTTGTCTCTTATATGAAAAGCCAACAGATTAAAAAACGTGTGACTATTACGTTGTTTGTTTGTTGTCAGCATGTACTGTTAATTTTTCATATGTTGATAATGTGTTGATTTCATTTATTTATGACCCAATCTGCTATCGGCCCAGCTTCAGCTACCTGTGTTACTTTTTACAATTCAACAGACTATGAAGGGTTTCTGTGTCTATTTCCTCTTTGCTTTTCCTTTTTTTCCATGAGGATAACTTGAATTGTTTTGCTCCGTCACTCCCTATTTATTTATTTTTTCTTAGTCTTTAGTATAATATGACTAAATTAGAGCAGTGGTACTCACTAAATGCTGGTTTACAGACTGTAGAAATCGGTATTGGACAACAGTAAACTCTCACTCTTCACAATTATTTTTAATTACAGATTTGTTCTGTAAGGGGCATGCTAGACCCTCCCGCAATCCTAATCCGAGTCCTACTCCCTAAGCATAATTTGGGGTGGATTTAGTCTTAACTTATAGGTCTGGGTATGCAATAAAGTTATTAAAGCAAATGTTGCCATTTTCTTAAAGAGAGATATAACTCCAGATCATCAAAGCATCAAATCAAAGGCCTGCAGGCCAAATCCAGCCCACCACTGCAATTTATCCATCTCTCAACTGTAAAAAATGAAATATGAGTCTATTTTCTTCCCTTTTTTGAGCAGTTAACATAATTTGGAAAAGGAATAATATGATTTATGTTAAAGTGCAAAGCATCCCCATTACATGGGTCTGTATCCTACACCTATTTTAAACAATTAAGACTTCTATTAATTCTAGAATGCACAAATGCAAATGTTAATTTTTTTTATTTCAAGTTAAAAAAACAAAGGCCATTGTTTGGTTAAAATGTCTAAACTCCCTTTGATATGTTGTTTTTTTGGCAAGAGATTAAACAAGCAAAGAACAGAATCAATCTGGATAAAAATAATGTGTAGATTTAGATGAAAACTGTAATGTAAAAATTATTTCTGTAATTAGGGCTCCTTACAAAAAAAAAATCAAAAAGAGCTTTATTACATGTTGAAATGTGGAAGGCAAACACATGAAACAATTACAGGTAGGCAGCGTGTCAGAAGTCATGCATTTTTGAAACCAGTGGATTCCCAGACTCTTGAGGTTATTGTGTTTCCTACTTCATGTAGTCAAACAGGTTCTGTTTGAGTAATTTCCTGACGCTACAGGTCTGGCAGAGATCAGGTCTTAGGGGGGGGATGGTGAAACTAAATTCAACTTTAGTGGTAAATCAGTTAAAATAAATAAACTACCTGCACGGGGGTTAATACTTCCCTAACAATAGGGTGATGATAGAGTCATTGTTAACCTGGCTGAGTGGCAGATGTTTGCTCTCACACAGGAAGGTGTGAATTAGTTTGAAACAATCTGAGCTTTAACATACTCAGCTTTATGTTTTTGAAAGTGGAAAATTGTCACAATCTTCTGATTAGAAATTAGTTTCTCTTTTTTTCAAAGCCCTTCATATGTAGGGAAACATATTTCCAACCACAAAAACTGAAGTTTTTTTTTTTTTGCTCACCTGTTAACAAACAGGTTAATATGATTTTATCTTTATATCTATTAAATATTTGCATGGATTTAAATCCTAGTTTTATAGGAAAAATGCAGGAATAAAACCTTTAACAGCAGTAAGTATGCTTTAAAATCTACTGTAGACATTAAACATGTGACACCGAGCAGTAGGCTACATGTTAATTTTTGCAGAAACTTTTCCGTTAAAAATTAGTTTTGCTACCTACTGAATCTCATTTTAACTGGTATGGTTGAAAAAAAACAAAAAAAAATCACCTTCATTTCAGGCTCATCCTGCAGTGGGCTGTCACTGTTACGTTGGGTGCTGTCCTGAGCAGATGTTTCGCTGTTTTCTTCCTCCAGTGTGATTAATGCAGGGCTGTGCTGCTCCATGGGGGAGGGTCGGGTGGTCAGAGGTGATGCAATAGAGTGAATATTGGCACTGAGAATAACCGGTCGGGCCTGACCTTCTTCTTCCTCCTCTTCTTCTTCTTCAGGCACCTAAAAACAGAAAGGGGAAATATACAGTTTTAAGTTTTCAGAATTTTTTGAATTCTTCAAGAATATAAAGAAACAATGTTCAAAGAATTCAAAACAACAACATTGAATTAGAAAGAGTGGTACATGACAAATTAAGATCATAGGAAAAAAACTACATGTGACTTTGAAAAACTGACTGACTTTAAGAGGACTGTGGCTCTTTAGCTGCACATATTTCTCCAGCGCTCCCCTGCAGCGCTCCACGATATGCTCCATCTGGAAGTAGCTAGCAGCAGTCAGGTAGTTGACAATCTCCTCAGGGCTGAACTGCAGCATGCCAGTGTAGCAAGACTGTAGCAAATCACACACAACCGAGGAGCTGTACAGCATTGACACCTGGACAGAGCATTGTCAAAGCATTTAGTTTCTCATTGAAGAAGAGTGGTTAGAAACACTTGTGCAAAACGGTTTGTGTTTTATTTTCAGCCACCTGAAGCCTGGAGGAGGGGTTGAGGAGAAACTGATCTCTCAGGAAGGGCGAGCAGGCAGCCAGGACCACCTTATGACCTTTGAAGGTCTGGTTGTTGCTGGCCACGATGGTGATGTCGCAGAAATGTTGGCGGAACCTCAGTGAGTTCATGTGCCTCAGTGTCATGTCCCCGTGTCCCGGTAAACGGAAACATACCGTCTCCATGTTGTCGGAGCAACACTTAGTCTAAGGGATCAAATCAGGGGAATTAAAGCAGACAGAAGCTGGTTAAACAGAAATAAATAAACCAAACTCAGTTACATGTCAAATTTTGGCCTTTTTTCCCTTTTCCCCTGTCCAAAAGAAATACATTATACATAACAAATGTCAGGATTTATTTTTTTACATTTGAACTCACTTTTACAAAACTGAGATTTCTGTAATAGTCAGACAGTGAAAATAAAACCTGTAAAAATTGCCAACAGCAAAAAAGATAAATGGATGGATATAGTAGAAGATGGATGGAGACACGTTTTAGATAACAGGAGACAAAATAACATACAAGAAGTTTAACTTTTGTTTCTGAATATTTCTTAGAATAATCTGACATCAGTGTGGGTTTTTAATGGAGGGAAGATGCAAGACAACTTGTGGTTTTATTTATCATTTTTGGGTCAACTGTGTTTTTTGTTTTTGCCTGGTAAATCTCCCACAGATGCCCTATTGGCCCAGTTCCTTACTACAGAACCATCAACATTGACCTTAACTCAGTACAACGAGGCCTGCAGTGATTTAGATGGTCTTTTTAACTCTTGGGTGAGTTATCAATTTGCCTCGGAGTCATTTTGGAAAGCCAGACATTCCTGGGAAGGTTAAATGTTCCATGCTTTCTTAATTTGTGGAAAATGGCTCACTGTGGTTTGCTGCAGCCGGACAGCCTTAGAATTGGCTGCTTCTCATCTGTTAGAAATTTGTTTGGATCAGGGCTGTGCTGCTGCTTTAAGAGTTGTTTTAACCTACTTGGGATACAATTAAACAAGGCAAGTTTTTCTGATTTATTTGGAATACATTTTGTATAAAATAACTGAAAATACCCCAAAGAACCATGTAGTTCTGTTATTTTAGACTTTATTGGAAATTTACTTTCATTGCATCATTTTAGATTATGTGGATCTAGCATGTCCCAAATTGTCTAATGGTCAGGATTAAAGGCTCTCACTGCTGTGGACCAGGGTTGATTGTCAGGGAAGTTGTGGGGAGTGGTGGCCCAGTTAGGACATTGCGCTTGGATCCCAGATGTTCTGAGTTCAAGCCCCACTCCCACAGACTGCCACTGTGGGTCCCTGAGCAAGACCGTTAACCCCGCACTGCTCCCCAGGCGCTGCACAATGGCAGCCTGCTGCTCTCCAAGAGGATGGGTCAAATGCAGAGAGGAAACTTCATTGCTTTGTACTTGTGACAATAAAGTTGCTTCTACCTCTTCAAAATATTTATCATCTGCCTAATTTTTAAACACATTTTATGACTGCCTTTTTTGGGGGGTAATGCTGCTATTTTAAAACCTGCCTCCCAGAGAGCTTGTGTTTCATTAGGACCTTCTAAAGACCATTCCACCCTTTTTAGTTTTTTCCATTTTGTGGATCAACAAATGGATCTTATCAGTAAAGAGCCATACCTCTTTACTGATAAGGGGGGTATTTGGTATCTGCCAGCTGATTAGATTTCATTTCACTTTGGAATTTATAAATACAAAAATCTGATTAATGACTAACAAATGGACTATCAAAGCTTATTTTATGTTAATCGAGGAGAAATTATTTAGATCCAATAAACCAAATTAGTAATAAAGAATTCAAAAACACACGGCAAACAAAACTATAAAAAATGATAAACACATTTTAGGGGAAGGTGTTATTTACAACTAAATTTGATAAAACATGTGATTTAAGAATTTGTTATGATAATGGTTCAGGTACATGTAAGTGAAATGAAAGCAGTAGAAGAAATCGTAACACCCCCCTCCTTAAAATTAAGATCGACTTTTACACTTTTACCTCTGCTAGTGTCTCAAACTGGTATCCAATTTAAATCAGTGCTTTACTTATTTGTAGTAGTGGAGAAAGACAGTCGTTTAACTTATTTTTTTGAGAATACATGTGTATTTTTTGCACTACAAAAATCATACTATTTTCTGATAATCCTGAAAGGTGTTTCTAGTGTATCACAATTTGCTAAGATAAAAAATATATATATATATTTCATGGAAACATTTAAACCAAACCTAATACTTTTTTAAAAACTCTATAGAAAACCTGCAAAGAACACACACACACATATATATGTGTGTGTGTTTTCTCTCTATTCAGACCTAAGAATGATCTGTTCAGATAAAATTATATCAAAAGGAAGCATAATTATATGTAATAAACACGTATTACTCCATAAAATAAGCTTAAGAGCCATAAGGGTGGATAATGACATCCTGTCTCTGCTGAGTTCCTCTGAAATCACCAGGTTAGCTACCATTAATGTTTGGCGTATGCTAAAGAACACTTAAAACCTATAAAACCTACATTGGATCAATTATCCTAAGTAACATAATATATAGACCTAAATAATGATTACATTTAAACTTAAATATTGTGCGTTTTAACTCCTTTGTTTTAGCAAAGCTAGCTAAACCACTCGAGTGTTAGCCACATCTAGCTATCAAAGTTATCTACTGGAAACTAAACACGAAACCAAAAAACTGATACGGTTAAAGTTATAACTTTACCGGTACCCACCTTTGTGTCTTTTCTTCTCTAATGAACCAGCCGTTATTGGTCTTCTTCAACGGGGTGGACGGTAGGAGACACTTGCTGACCAGCTAGATTTGCACATTTCAAAGCTACAAGGGGGAGAAAAGATGCTTCCACCTCGATTTCTCTTCACTTTTCGGCCTTTTTCTCGCAGGAAGTATCCTCTTGTGTCCGAGAATAACAAACGACCGGTGTTTCGTTGCTAAAACTGACTTTCAATCTGTTTCCGAGCGACGCCTCCTCCGTGGCGAGGCCGTAAATGAAGAGCACGCCTGCTGATTTCTGATCAGCGATTTTAAAATCAATGGACACTGAGAGAAAAACGGGGCGGGGACGCGAGCCTGCAGGCGTGATGACGTACACATAGATATAGACCGACTAGATGCCGCATGAGTGGCATCTAGTCAGAGTGGCATTGAAAGATGGGGTAATTTTTTGAAATTGACATTTATGTATGAAAAATTTGGCCAAAAGAATTAAATTGTTATTACCATAGTTTGATTCTCTATCTCACATTAAAAAAAATTTATTATATCAAAATTCAAAGGCGGTAAAGAAGTCTTCCGTAAGATCCAATTTTGAAAATCCTTCCAAAAAATATTTATGATATTGCACTGAAAAAAATAGATGTTATGCTGTTTCAATATCTGAATCACAGAATACACAAGAGTTGGTAGTAATGTTAAATTTTCTATGTAAGATACCATCACAGGGGTAAATGTCGTACATAATTTTGAAATGGATTTCATTTACTTTCTGTGGAAGAGGAAATGAAAGATACCTGGTTCTAATTTTCTTTAAAGAGGTATCATCATACTTTTTGAACAAATGTTTTCTTCTTAAGGTTGATGGAAAAAATATTGATGTCAAGGTGGTTCTTATAAATCTATTAGTACATTTTTTGCCAATAAAATTAAAACCGTTTATATATAAAGATGATTCTTTTAGAGCAATTGTTGAATATGTTATTGTGCCTTTAATTAGTAGCACCATAGCAAGGGGGGCAGACGTGAACGTTGTGAGAGGTTTAGAAAAGAAGGGACAACGCTGTACAAGAATGTTTGTTCCAATGTTTAGGTCTCTGTGATGGCTGTAAGAAAATATATATGGAGGTTCAGCGGTGTTTCTTCCATCCTCACTGTCTTGATCAAATTTTTGCCACCTTTTAAGAGTAGTAATTGTCGAGTAATTATTAGTTTAGTTTAGCTGTTTATTTTCAGACAATGCCTCTTAATCCCATTTAGTTTAAATTCCCAATTCTTAAAACATGCTTTTTTTCAAATGCCAACTTTAGCTACCTCTTTCAGCATGGGGCATCATTTGTTGCTTTTTTTTTTTTTTTAGATTCTTTAGCCTACTTCATGTTGCTAGTCAGGTTCTTAATCCCAATGGATTTAGTAGATTATAGCTCCCTTATACATTTTCAATAGCCACGTTTCTATCTCTTGCAGCATCAGGCATCATGTGTTGCTTCTTGAGATCTTTTATCCTACTTCATGTTGTTAGACAGGTTCTTTTTAAAGTAATTCAGGGCCTTGCTGCTTCCTTTTGCTCACACTAACTGTAGGGTGCAGTTTAAATTCCTTACATAATGGTTTATAAGTGATCTATACTCGTTTTACCTGAGAGCTGAGCCTCAGTATTCATGAAACATATTATGTTTTTAAAGAATATATCCGCTATCTGGTGTAAGGTCAGCGTTACTACAACTGTTTCTCCCTTCTTCCTCCCTTTCATGATACCCTGACTTTATACATAATCTCCAGCCTAGTTTTGCTAACTTAGGTCTCAGAGAGTGATTAAAACATTTGGTGGCCTTTTTTCAAGAGGACTCACTTCTTTGATTTAATCACTTAAAAGTACCCAAGCAGGGTCTTACCAATAAAGATTTTTTTTAATTACTTCCAGATAAAGAGCTTTATTTTCTCTAAATTAAAGGTTTGTAATGGTGGGTTTGCTACATCTCCTTAGGATTACTGATGGTACAAACTACCAATCTAAAATGTTAATGTTGTTTTACAGAATAGGGGATTACTAATCCATCATGGCTTTGTCAAACTGCTGCCTACCTTTGTGAAGCAGGAAAAAGAATAATACAAAGTGAATCCAGTGAAACTTTTTACCTGGAATGGGTGACAATCGTTGAATACATGTTTGGCCCTCAAAATGGTATCGGTCCCCTATTTGTCTGTAGTCGCTGATACAGATTCCACCATTTTAGTGCAGTATCTGGGCAAGGCCCATTACTGGTATCAGTATTGGTGCAACACTAGCATAGTACTCCATGTCGCATTATGGTATTGTGGATTTCTGATAAAGCTCCATCTATCAATCAGTGGCTGCAGACTGTGATAGGTAATGTGCTCATGGAACCCTTTCTACAGTGCTTTTCACACATGGTACCCTTTTTCTTGACTATTTGGTTGCTTCTGCTCAGAGGATGGGACTGGGTTTATTGGATTTGGTC